AACGCATGCTAGGGACAATTCAGCACTGGAAATGGGTGTACCAATGGAGTACGGCCTTGCGTTTAATTATTGTCAGATTCGACCGAGGTAACATGTAACTACATGAAAAGATATGGTCAAGCACAGCCAAAACTGTATGGACAAGAGTCTTTCTGCTCCTACCTCGGCCCAAAGAGCCGAAGACTCTGTGAACGCGCGAGTAAGGCTCCGTTCGACAAGGCTGGAAATTCCAACTTGTGATTGGCCGAATGTTTAAACCTCGATGTCATTGTCTCCCCGTAGCCTGTATGAACTTAGACCTCGCTCCTCAACCTGCGACCCGAAGGGTGTCATTTACTATTCCATCCTGGCCATTTTCTTTCTTTCCAACACGGTTTATTTTTAAAGATGGCAACTCTTCAAGGAGCCGGGATCCCCAGGGTCAAGCTGGAACCCGCGCCTGACCAAAACATTAAGATGGAGTCCATGGACGACACACCTTCACCTTTCGTCGACGAAGATGATGACATGTATGAGGATGCCGGTGACCTCGATTTCTCACAGGCACAGCAACAACTATGGCTCAGTCATATTCCGCGAACATTATGGGAGACACTCTCTAAACTGCAAGATGAAGACGAGATCGAAATTGGGAGAATCAGGGTAGAAGGCGCAGAGTCAAATCCATCAAGAGTATGCTTGACCTTTTCATGGTCTTGAGCAAATTACATGTGCGCGCGAAACATGACTAACGACATGGCTCATAGGTCAGCATGCTGTTATACCCGCTGCCAGTGTTCGAGAACGAGCCCAAAGAATACAACCTCTTCAACCCGCCGCCTGAAAAACTACGATCACGGAGACCTGGACAAGCGTTGGTCTTCTCGGAGAAAGATCTACCTGGATACAAACCCCGTACGTTTGCATGGGACGATATTGATGAAGAAGGCAACCCGGGACAGGGCCGCTCATTCCTCTACGAGAGACACAAGCGCGAGCAAAAGAAAAAGGAAAACAAAGGGCGCTTCGTGCCCTACGCTCGACGACCTATACCAAAACAAACAGCCATCACGGGCACAATAGCAAAGGAGTTCGAGGCAGTACCGGTCAAGAACGATGAGTACTTTGTACTCGAGAACAAGCAGGCGGCAGAACTACTCAAGATTCCGGAGCGAGAACAAGCCATCTTTGCCACTGGCGACTACGACCCAGAGAAGAACAGCAGGTCGTTTATGACGATGAGCGAAAGACAAGCTGTCTTGAAGGTAAGCAGACCATGTCGAACCCGTGTTTGGGCCCGTGCTGCGTAGACGTGACTAACTCTTGAACTACAGAGCGCCCAGGCAAGGAAGCACGCGCAAAAGGAAACCCGTGCGGCGCGTGTGGACAAGCATGTCCTCATCGACAAACTTTTGGATCTCTTCCGCCAGCATCGCATCTGGGGTCTACGCGACCTCAAAGCCAAGGTCAACCAACCCGAAGCATATCTCCGCGAAACGCTCTCGGAAATCGCATTCATGTGGAAGTCCGGTGATTTCAATGGCAAGTGGGAGTTGAAGCAAGAGTTCAAGCAGCAAGATACGACTTTACTGAATCCAACGGGCGTGGAGGTTGCGCCAAAGGTGGAGGAGTCAGACATGGACACCAAGTCCGGCATTGACGACGATGACGACGATGTCTTTGAGGATGTCGGTGTGGACGGTTAGGAGCTTTTCTAGGGCGAGTGGGTTTGACTGCATGGCGAAGGCGTCTTTGGGAGGTGGCGTTTTGCGACCATCAACGAAGCGATACCCCAGGTGAATGACATGCGATAGCGGCACACTCTGGATAGTAAGGCAGACACAACTGAGCCTTTTTGACACGCAAGCATGGATTTAGGCCCCAGGGCATTCTGCGTTGTCTGTTCATTCTCTCCATAGCGAAGTTTCATGGAGCGCCCAACTCCAGGTCGTTTTGTAAACCTCTCTCATCGAGCCAGTTACTCTGCCTTCTATTCTACATGCATGTCCTCACTCGAGACAAATGCATGCGGAATATAACCTACAAATGACGACTCGCGATCACCTCTGTACTTCATCCTATTGGGCTTGGGGTGTCATGGTGTATGGAATTGATTGCATTATACGGCGTTGTGATCCACCCCACTGATGCCAAGCACTACGGCAGACCATGATATTTGCACTTGGATCGATAGCTCGATGTTCACGGGAAGCCCTTCCAGCAACCCACCATCGCCACGAGTCCTTTGGATTGGCTTCAGACTGTCCACCCTTTCTTCCTTCGTGTTTCCTCGTGAATTCGCCGGGCGAATATCTAGATTGTCAGGAGGAGATAGGTCGCCTTTCCTGAACACAGGCCAAAATGGCCGCGAAACCCATCAAAGATGTTGTCGCGGTTGGAAAGGTACGACCCCAGCATGGAACCCGCAAAGCTGCTTCTACCTCCCAAAATCATTTTGGCTCACTCTCTTCCACAGAAATATACCCAGCAAAGCGTCGGCATCTGGGAGACGCTCCGCAAACTCCTGGTCGTCGATCCCAACCGCAGCAACGGCGTCCCCGTAAAACATTTCCGCAACCCGACTCCCGGCGGTCTCGATCCCAAGTCGTACGACGAAGCTGTCACCACCCCAGCCGCCGACATCGCAGATAATCCGTACTGGAAGAGGGATGTACGGAGGGCATATCCAACACTGAGCACGGTCACACAGGGCGATGTGGTGGGGCTGTTGACATTGGGAAGTGCGGCGAACCCGAGTCCAAAGTTATTGGCTGGCGAGGAGGGCAGCAAGCAGTTGGTGGCCGCGAAGCAGGAAGGGGAGAAAGGATTAGCGACATATTTCGAGCAAGAAAAGGCCGCGGCGGTGTTGGGAGAGAATGGCCTGCCCCCAAAGCCGGTGGCATATGGACACAAGAAAGACGTCAAGTATGAGATCGGACCGACAAGTTATGGAGACGAGTATGTATTCTCCTCTGAAAAGATATTATCTCTTGCTAACATTACCTGCAGGTACCCCTGCCGGAGCTTTGTCTAGAAATCTATTGCGTTTTCAAACGGGGCAAATGTATATAGTCTTCTCCGGCCACCAAGTGCGCAAGATGAAGAACTCAAGAACAATTCTTTGATTCATTCCATCGCAGCCCGTCTTTCCGCCTCCAATGCAGCCTGCTTTTGCTCGAGGATCTCTCGCTGTCGGACAGCTTCTTCCCCGACAGCTTTTTCGCCTTTGCGTCGTTGGCGCTCCTCAAAGGCTTCCCTGCCCTTCATGATGCGACCAACGATCTCGGCAGCATTGACGTGGGAGTACGGGTGACCTTCGATCTGACGGAAGATGCCCATCTCCTTCGCGTCGACGTATGGGTCAAAGGTCGAAGGCATGAACGTGGTCGGACCGTGATATACTGCGGCAACCCTTCCCACAGGTATCGCTTCCAGGTATGCCTTTGAAGGAGAGAATGGAGCTCCAAACACCACCGCGTGAATGAAACGGCATTGCAAGACGCAAAGCCCGCGCTCGAAGATATTCATGATGGGATAGTTGAGGCCCTTCCAATGGTTGATCACGTCATCGTTGTGAACTCCAGCGACCACGTAGGCCTCGAAGTTCTCTGCTTGGTTGACTCGCTTGAGGAACTCGATTTGTCCCGAGGAGAAGAGATCGAAGCCGCCGTCCACATAGACTACACGTTGACCAGGTTTCGGGCCCCTTCCAGGAACAATCTTCTCGAATGTCCCAGCATCGTCGGCTTCTTGCTCTCCTAGTTTCTTCACCCGAGTGCTAGCCCAAGTCCATACTTCGGCGCCAGGCTTCGAGGCTGTTTCGTCCATGGCGTAGTCTTGGATTCTCTCGAGCATCTCGGCCCCAGCAGCGACCTTGGTTGGATCGACCACACCGTCACTCTTACCCTGTAGTTCGTCTGTCAAGGACCGGATGAAGTGCGTCTTAGTACACAGTAACATCCTGCCGACCAGGTCGGTGGTGGATATTCCAGGCGTTCTTTTGAAGACAAGGAAGCGGCCAGCGGCCTTGACGAAACGGTAACAATCCTCGCCGCCGGCATCAGAGGTGATGTCATCGCCGTGGGCGACATACCAGCACCCATAGTGGGAGATCCACGGCAAGGCTGTCACATAGGGAGCGTGGGGAATGACTTTGGTAGTCCATCGACAAGCGTCGCAGGCGGCGATTCTTGCTAAAGGCTTAGTTTTGGAGCCGCGACAAAACACACAGAGAGGAAAATACACACCGCTCATCCAATGTCATGACCGTCGGGCCTTTATTCTCCAAGATTTCCTCATCCGAGTGTAGTCCAACGTAGAGCTCTTTGCCTAGCTGACGGGCCTGTCTCAGTGCGCCAGCATGACCTGGAGGGGTTAGACCGGCTTACCTTTTTGATTCATGCGGGAGACCTACCGTGATGAGTGAAGTCGAAGCAGCCGTCAACCCAGATGCGATCTTTTCGGATTTCCTCGTCCTCCTGGGGATCGACCGGCCATTGACCAGGCTTGGGCACCGCTACATCCATATTCCAGGTGTACCACTCAAGTACGACGAGGAAACAACGGAGGGTTCGGTTCGGGCAGTTTGCCACAAAGGAGTCGACCTGGGGGGATTGTGCATGCAGTTGTCAGAATAGAACCCCTCGGAATAGTGTTCCTGGACCCATGATCGGCGTGTGGACAAGAGGGCGTGGCATGGAGGCTGCGTGGGAAGAAGACGTGAATGGAGAAAGGCCCCTGAACAGATGGCGCAACATGAGTGGCACAACCTTCAACGCCTCTCCCCACAACCTCATCAGCTTTGGCCCCTCTGGTGCCTCTAACCCCCTGTCTATTCGTAACCTCCCCTTACACACTATCTGCAGGTACCCTTCTTTGAGAGAAAAAAATCTCCGCTCCCTTTTCTGCGTGGTTGCAGAATTCGCTGGGCGCACACTATTGTCCTGGGCCACCGCTCTGATTCGGCAATCTCGATCGCCTGATCAGGTGGCACGAAGAAAGAAACACCAAGGAGGAATAGTATGACTGAGCCTAGTACCCAGAGCCAGAGTCAGCCTCGGTCTCAATCCTCGCGCGATGGCTCCGTCAGTTCGACCAATTCAGCTGCTGGAGGAGCAACATCAGCAGGAGGAGCGGCTGGCTTCCTCTCCAAGATCACTAGATCTCCTTCGCGCAGACACAAACCTCTAGGATCAAACAGTTCCCTCGACGCTACTCTCGCCGCGGCCGGCTCGACACCACCTCGTCCTCGTCCCCGTCCAGCCTACACTCGAACGGCCACTGCCCCTCCTGCGCCCGTCACCCTGAATTCCGCCAGACCCGATCTCATATCCCGGACCAACAGTGATGTGACTAGCCACGCTACACCTGAGAACAATATGCTACCTCTTCCGGCTGGGAATATTGCTCCGATCTACACGCCGTCAGGAGTCAACCGCGCGCCCTTACACAAAGTCTCCAGCAATGTCAGCGTCGGTGATGACACCCTAAATGCGCACACCGTCAAAGGAAAAGACAACTCCTCTCGAGAGGTGGACGTGCCTTCGGCGTTGGCGCTCAATGGACTTCTCAACTCGAATGCGGCTGTTGCCAACCAAGCCAACAATTTTGCGTCTTATGCACAGATACAAGAGATGACACACAAGAGGATAGCGACGCTGGAGTACCTGCGAAGAGCGCACGAGGGTCGGTCTTTTTGGTTCAACACGGTCCTGTTCCATGAGAATGATATTGCAAGGCTGCCTTCTTATACACCCAACCGACTGTCGCGGAGAGCCGTCAATTTTATGCTGCTAGGAATGTCACTACCCACAATTCTAGACTTCCATCCTCCTCAGCCACCAGCCGCTACCAATGCTGCGAACAGCGCTGCGGTCGCGCATGATTACTTGAAGAATTTGAATACTCTTTTAACGGAATTCGAATCCTTTCAACAACTCCATCCCCCGGATGGCAGTTCGGCAAGTTCACTCAGTCGGGCACGAATCCCTCAAATGTTCAAACGGGCGACGACGACGTCCAGACCGCGAAAGTCAAGTGGCCCCGTTACCGAAATTGGCCTTCCTATGCTTCCGGCTACGTCGCCGCCCTCGACTGTGCCGGAGGGTGGGCATCATGGTTCACAACCCTCAATCGACACTACGGCCAGTGGGACTACTCTTGCCTCGTCGGCGAGTACCCTGGTGAATCCTTCTCCTTTGGCTCCCATGCCAGCAGCAGTCAACTTCCCCAGTGCGTCGGCATTTCCTCCTCCAGCACCATTCGATGCGCCGAATTCAACTCTGTTACCTAATGAAGGACCATACACTCACCTTCAAACTCCGCCGCTTCCATTTACGCCCGACTTCTTCACCGTGTTCGCGACCTTGTGTGACGCGCTGATTGACACTTATCAGCGGTTACTGCAGATCCTGACAGGTCCGTCGGCTTGCACGAACATGATCAGTGACCTCTTTGCCAAAGTTGACGGGCGGATCCGAAAAGTGATTGTGTCAGCGATCGTCCGGGAATTTGAGCAGGCTTCCCGAGAGTCGGCTAAAAGAGAGATGATAGGGGTGCAGAAAGTGGTGTTGGGAGGGCTGATGGCATGAAGAACTGAAGACGAAACGAGACGAAATGGATGGGAGGAGGTGAACCCCTTTCTTATGTCACCAGACCTGTACGATGATATTCTTGGATACCACATCAAAGCGTGGCGTTTGGATTGAACCTTGCCAGATGGGCATGATGTAACAACTGACTGAGACAGACCTGCGTACCATGTACGAGTAATATGCACAACCGTTACGCGTTGCCAAAAGAGGACGTGACAAGGCTGTGTGACGTTTGATGTTGCTGACGCGACAACAAACTGACACGCGACCACGACAATGTTCAAACCGCAAATGTTCCCACCCCTATTATTCCTTGGTTTCCATTCACAGTCTATGCAGAACAGAGTATACCGAGTATTCGTATTCGTAGCCGGCCGATATCATCAAAGGATGTGTCATGAAAACTCGACAGTGCGAGGAAAAGGCACTCGGAAATGAGTATTCACAAACTTTTCGCTAATGGCAGATTGCTTTGACCATGGGTGGTGGTCAAGCACCTTCCAGGCCCGGACGTCCAAGTGACCGGAAGAAAAAACTGCCCCTTAAATGGTCGTTCCGTGGGGTAAAGATCCTGGAAATTGCCCGCCCCCAACCAACCCCCGGGACCAATGTTCGGGGAAGGCCCTGTTCGATGTCCTTGTCCTGTGTGCCTATTCAGGTGTCAGGGCTACAAGTGCCGTGTGACTTTGGCACCCACTTCCCGAGGAGTATCGCCTACTCGTAGAGTGACCCAAGCGCCCTCCTTTCTCTCCGGAAGTCCTGATGATAGATTGGCACATTGCACTTGTTAGAGTGTGTGCTAGTCAGGCTAGGGCGGACAGGGCTTGCAGAAGCATTGAACGGTGGCGTCTTCTCCTGGCCTCTGAAGCATTGTTTCTGGCTTGTCTGGGCCATGGCAGCACTGAACGGGCGTGCCTGGCTAATCCCTTTAAGTGTCTAGTAAGATCCCCCTCCCCGACTCCGACTGGCACCCGCATTGACCTCATTTCCCTATCAATTCTCCGAACGGCTCATCCAATATTATATTCTCACTCGTATCTCTACCACACGTACAAAATTAATATCAAACTCTCGTCGTCGCGCGCCGTGTATTTTCTCGCTTCGTGGTCGTCTTTATCTCTCTGATCTGCCATTGCTGTGTCTATCTCGAAAGAAGAACACAGGCAGAACCGACATCTACGGACGCCGCACATGACAGCAGATCGTGCGCATTACGAAGTGGTGATATAGCGGATGCCAGAGATCTGTTACATTCGTCGCATGTCCTTGTATGCTCCTGCGCATACGCCCTCTCAGCATTAGTTTGACTCTCTGACGGCCATACTCAAGATGTCGGCCGTGCGGCGCAGCCAGGCCGTCGGCCTCACCCTAGGGATTCTCTTGATCTACTTCCTCTTCTTCTCGGGCTCTGGCACGACCACAGACTTTCGCAAAACTACCGAGGCCTCGTTATCGCGGCGTCGAGGCGTCTTGAGAGGCGCGCTCTCGGACAGAGAGTTGACTGCACAAACAAATCGCGAGTTGCAGATGATCCTGGACAAGCAGAAGGAGCAGAGACAGCGGGACGAGGATCAGAGGATCTTTGACGCGTCGCCTGTCCAGGGCAATCACCCATATACTTCGACCATCAGTTTCGACGATGAGATCAGTATCGGTGGAAGGAGGACCATGCCGAAGGAGAAGCCGAAATACCCTGTCGACACGACCACGGCCGTCGCAGCGGATGGACAGGGCGAGGAAATCGCATACAACGGGAACAAAGTCGAAAAGGCAAAGGATGACGGAGAGACTCTGGCACGACAAGAACTGCAAAGCATTTTGAAGAAGAGTCCAAGTAGGTCGAAATCCGTGTTCCCTTCACGAGTGTTGAGGTGCTAACCAAGTCGTCCTACCAGTCATCATCTTCTCCAAGTCCTACTGTCCCTACTCAAAACGAGCCAAAGCTCTCCTTTTGGAAACGTACAATATCACGCCAGCGCCTTACGTAGTAGAACTCGACCTAATGACCACTCCCGTTCCCAAGGCCCACGACGATGATGAAGATGACGACGCGCCAGCCCCTACGCTAGGCCGCAAATTACAAGACCTCCTGGCCACACTGACTGGTCGACGTACTGTGCCGAACATCATGATCAATGCGCAGAGTCTAGGTGGCAGTGACGACATTGCTAGAATGCATATGGAGGGGACGCTGGAGAAAGAGATCAGAAAGATGGGCGGGAAAAGGATAGTCAGTGTCGAAAAGAAGCACAAGGACGGGGAATGATTGACCTGGGGATGCAATGTCTTGATGAAATACGGAAACGAATTGCGCATTCAACGAGCATGGAACGTCCATTTCCTGTGAGGCTCTTGGTACGAACAAGGTGCCACCACTATCCCTGTGTCACCATGTCGTCTGGCGTCCATCCATTGGCTGTGACAGTTAGCGGTACACTGTCTGAAACTACATCTGCGAAGATTGAGCACCACCGCCAACCAGCTGGACATCTAAATCACCACAGGGCATCTCAGCCACGAGCACGACGAAATTTCGCCTGTATCACCAGGGTAAGACCTCAGCAGCTTCAAGCTGGTGCACAACGCAACCGAACGCAACGGAGCTTGAAGCTCTTTGCGCATGCGACAACTATGGCTCACGTTGAAGGTAACCATGGCACATATTGGTCATGGAAACGCGAACCCAGTGAACCAGAGGCTGAGGGTCCTCCAACTCGAAGTGGTCAACCACCCTGGCACAGGCGATAAAGCATGGACTTTGGAGAGCAGGACGGGGAAGATTCATGGGCCTCGGACCTCCTCACTTCCAATTGAGCTGTCTGAGCAGTAGAGGCCGAACATCTCCCGCCGACTGCAATGTTTCCTCAATCTGGCGAAGTGGCTGTCTCAGTGAAGGATTCGGGGCGGCCGAACGCGGCCGAACCACACGCTACTGAGTACAGACTGGTCGATCACCAAAGAGGTCAACATAGATTACGATTCAGGCTGGAAAGAATACTGGAAAAAGCGCTAGCCTAGCTAGTACCTACAGTACATACCATGCATGACCTTTGGAGGGACAAGTGATCTGATTTTTGATACGCACAATATTTGTTTGGTCCTCGTCCTTCCGAGGGATACCTTCATGTCTACCTACTTGCACAGCAGCAGTAGTATCATCTTTTGCCAAGCGCACCCGTTTTCTGTCCAGTTCTTGTTTCTTTGACCATTGCCCTCTGGCCCTTTGACCCCAAGACCGAACGACCGACCGACCGAACCAAGGCGGACCAAGCCCCGGGTAAAGAGTGAAAGCGGTGATCCGTCGTTTGTTATTTCTGCGCGGGACAAGGTCGAGGTCGAACGTCAAAGGTTGAAGGTGAAGGTTTTGTCGATCATCACTTCTCCTACTACTGATGCTGATGCCAATGCTACTGCTACTGCTACTGCTCTACTTCGTCGAGTCGAGTTGAGCCGAGTCGTATTAGTTGTATTGGGCGCGGCGCAGCGAAGCGGTTGGGTGTGTGTGTGTGTGTGTGTGTGTGTGTGTGTGTGTGTGTGTGTGTGTGTGTGTGGGACAAGACTACATGCCTCGTATCGACTATAGACTATTCCTACTTGTTACTCGTAGTAGGTCTACCTACATCCCCAGGGGATATTACAAACTTGTTCGTTTCGTTTGTCCGTTCGAGTGAGGGACGGAGCGAAAGGAGGGGGGGGGGATGAATGGATTACTTCTCTCAAGCCCGAAGGATCGATCGATCACTTCTTCTGACTTCAGACCCCGGCCCCGAAACGAGACGAGTACTCGGTCCTCGCAGGAGTATGATATTCCATTTCCATTGGCATTGGGCCCTTTTGTTCGGTGGCCGAGGCACATGTTCCCATTACCCTGCGGGGATTGACTGCTGTGTAACTAATTCGTATCTGGAATGCCGCGTCTGCCGGCGACAGATAGATACGACGAGAGTAGATACGTCGATACTCTTGAGTACGGTCCTTGTGCTAGATACACAACAAGTGCAGTATGTGTCCGATGGTCTCTTACGCCCTGGAGCGACGGTCTGGTGTCTTTGACAATGTGTCCAAGTGCGTACTCGACACGAGGTATATCTTCAGGGACCTGATCCATCTACTACTTACTACCTACCTAGCATAGCATGTTCGTCGAGGATCTGTGGCAACACTTTGGGCACGCAGGTACCAAATAGTATGTACTCCAGATTAGGGAGGCCTGTCCTCGTACGGAGGACCCGTAGGTTAGTAGTATTCAGTCAAGACGCTGAAGCAGACTCGATCGCATCCTCCTTCCCCCTCCCTTGTCTCACACAATCCCCCTCGTTTCCAACAAAGCGGATTGATATCTGTCTCAGGGATGCCAACAAGGGATCCCCATACGACATCCTTCCCTCGTATTTTCCATTCTCCATTTCCATTTCTGGACCAAAAGAAGAACCTCACACGGCTAGCTTGCTAGCTAGCCAGCTGATCTCCGTGCCATGCCATGCCTACTCGTCCTCGTCCTCGTCCTCGTCTCGTACGGCCGCCGAGCTGCCCCCTCTTTCAGGCGAGATGGGTCGCTCAGCGGATGATGTGTTGCGATATGATGCGATGCATGCACGCATGCAGGGTCTCCTCGCTACAGGTAGAAGTACGGGTAGATTTGTTCGGTACGAGGTTTGGCATATATGCAGCGAGTACTGTGGCACCGAGGACTCTAGGTAATGTAAGTAGGAGGTAGGTAGGGCATGGGTGGTGGTCGTTGTACTCCGTCGGTGGCGTAGGTGCACACAAAAGTTAGTTTTGGTATATCAAAGCGGGCGAAACATTTTATGCAGGTAGTAGTGGTAGGTTGCGTAGATCTGCGCCAAAAAAAGCTCTTGTTCCCGTTCGGGCTTGAAAAGCTTAAGATGTACTCGGTATTCCCCTCCCTCGCCTTCCTCCCTCCCTCCCTTCCGCTGCCCCCTCTTCCCTTCGTTTCCTTCCTCCCAAGCTCCAGCAATGGACCTCAAGAACCCGTAGGTACACCATCGAATACATCGGCCCGACTCAGCTAGTCTAGCTTCAGTCCCAGCTGGATGAAACTCGACAAACTCTCTCCTCCCTAGTTCTCACGGTTCTTCAGCTCGCGAACGGTCTAGCTCAGTCCACTCCAGCCTCTCCGCCCCATCTTCAGAGTCCAGACGCCTTGATCGACGTGTACAACCAAAGGCTAAAAAAGAGTGGGAGAAGGGAAGGGGAGAGCCGGAGAGAAAGAAGAGGGGCCAGGGAGGCGCACTGGGCAGTTCATGCACGTACTTTGTACCCTATGCAATTGCAGGTGGAGGTACATGTACCTAGTAGGCATGGTATGGGGGTAGCACACGAATACAAATGGACCTACATGTAGGCAGTGACTCGATAATAGTGTTAGGTGTGTATGTGTGTGACAAGGACGGGAAGTATCTTCCTCCTCGAAGGTTTATTTTGCTTGTCGTTGAATGCGCTCTCGGCCCCTTGTGCCTTCGCACGGGAGTTATGTTAGTGCATGCCTATGACCTGTGTACTCGTACTCGTACTCGTGCGAGGTATGTACATCCAAGTATACTATCAATGTATACTCAACCTAGGTACCTCGTATAGACGGCCTGTCTCTTTGCAAGTACATGTATGTACTTGGGTAGCTTTGTAGGCTTCATTCTCCTCCTTCTCCTCCTCCTCCTCCTCCCAACCCCCATCTGTCTGCCTCTCCCTGTCGTCGTCGATACTTTCCCTTCAAACCACTCCTCAGGGCCAGGTGGACATTATTGTGGATGCCCCAGGCACAAGTCTAGACCACAACCCATGTATGTACATAGATACATACAGACATACACATGCATCTTTTCTTGGGGACGTAGTAGTCCGACACTCAACCCTCGACCCCATCATCGTCTTCTTATTTTCTCTGTCCCCTCTCTCTCGCTCTGTCGCTCATCCAATGTTTCGCCGCCTCACACGCTCCACAACAACCCTTAATTCCCCGTGCTAATTAATCCGTTCGTTACAGAAATTATGAACGGTCCGACAAAAGGGTCTCCGCAAGGGGATCAAAAAGGAAAAAAAACCTTCTACTTTCCTCCTCCACAAAGCTACTCAGCTACTCGTACGAAGTCTTTCGGGGGAGGGAGAAAACCTCGCGCCCCTCGCTACCGAGCCTAGAACTCGCTACCACGGCCCGCGACGGTGATCCCTGCATGCTCGCTTATGCTGGAGCCCGCTGCTCGTCCAACCCTCTACGGGGTATTAAGACATTGGTCGGCTTTAGCTTCATGTGTAGGGTGCTCGTATCGAAAACCGTAATCTGCATGTGATGAGCTATTGATATCATCACCACGCAAAACGAGTTTCGAGCGTCTCGTGAGTTCGGAGCAGCTGTACAAAAGAATCCGCACTCACGCGATCAAGAATGCTGGAGGCAATCATGACTGGTGGATAGAGTACAACACCGCTAGATGTTGGTGATATTTCATTCTGCGCCGCCAAGTGTCATTCGACACTCGTTCCCTCGCTTTGTGTTTGGGACGGTGTCCACCATCCCCTTGCAGAAATTTCTATTCATTCGCCAGGCATGCCACCACAAATTGACTCCCGTCCAGAGCTCTTGTTCCCCCCAGCAGGTAGTGCAACCCTGATGCATCACAGCCAGCGGTACGTACAATGATCAAGGCATGTGGACCAACGAATAGTAGAGATCCGAGTATGCAGCTTACTCCGGCTTCCAACAGAACAAAAGGGTATGTGTAACATTCTCTGTATCTTGACCACCGCCATAGCATAAAGTCACAAAGGAAAATTTCGTAAAGAAAAGACGTAAAGGTGATCCTGGTGAGGAAGAAGAAACAACCCGATTATCCCTCAAATGCCCTCAACGCCATGCCAGAAAGAGTCGCAAACACTTGATTCGTGGCTCGTCCATTCGCCTGAGCTTCCAGGTATCTCTTTGCAAGTTCTCGTTCTGAAGTTAGGTCGCCATTGCCCCCAGATGCCAGCAGCATGACACTGTAGATGACATCTCTGTTCTCCATCCCGTCCAGATATGGTCGGCATTGTCTCACTGCGGCGGCTGACAGACCTGACCCATCCGCTCTCTGAGTTGCAGCCGCCGCTTCGACCAGGTTCCAAAATTCTTCAGATCTCCTACCCAGTTGCTTTTCCAGGGCACTGGTTTTCGGTTCGGGTTCGGCCTCTTCTTGATGGACAAAATCAGCCATTGTCGCTGTTTGGCTGCTGAATTGTTCACCCGTCAGGATGGCCCCCAGTGCTCGACACCGGCGGGCGAGTCGGTCTGCCTCTTCGCCACTGTCATGCGCCGGTCGAATGCATAGCTCTAGTAGGGCCCAGGTCACTCTGGCCTCTTGACTGGCGAGTGTCGCATTTTCGGTTGGCGTATCGGCGTGGTTACTAACCAAAGTCAAATACGCCAACATGTTGCCCAATTGAGTCCGATCCATGCAGAGTAGAGGGAACCCTTCCCGTGCAAACCATTTCGACTGGCCAGCCTCCAAGAGCTTGTCGAGGCCAGGAGCAAAGGCAATGTCGTACACTTTCCGAATTGACTCGAGGTTGGGGACGGAATCGGGTGGAATAGGTGGTACACTAGGAATTTTTGTGCCAGCAATTGTACAAATGGACTCAATGGTCCTTGGGGTCGGACGAGAACCGACGTCGGTCATTATTGCACTGTCTTCAGGTTAGTCCCGATGGAGGAGGAATCACCGGCTCAACTCCACTCACTTCGTCCCGGTGGTGGATATGGAGCTAGACCAGGCTGATGCGCTCCGTCCATATGATATGGCTGATTAATGTGAGGCAAGACCTGTTCTGGTGGTCGTGGGAACGGGTATTCTGAGTGATCTCGAGGTGAGTTGGAGACAATGGAGGAATGGTGATTGGACCCCGGGGGGCTAATGGAAGTGTTGGTAAACCTCGGGACCTGATTGTTGACCGAGGAGGATGGTGGAGGATTGTTGCTGATGTTGTTGCTTGGGGCCGACGGCGCAGGGTGCAGAGAATGAGGACCTTGCGGCTGGAAGACCGGGTCGTAGCCTTGACAACTGCGCTTGCTCTTCATGCAATTTCTGCAGTCTGGTCGACCTTCATCGCACTGTCAATAGCATCAAGCTGTTAGCGCCGTGCGAGGGGTTGAGAGAAAGGGGAAATCAACGGTCGCGGCTGCAGAGGACTAGCAGAGCGCAGGCGGACGCGAGGGAAAGTGCTGCCGTGGCCCAAAGGGGACAGGAGAACGGGAAAGCAATCTCGAGACGAAGACAGGCGCTGGGCGATGGAGTCGCTAAGACAGAAAAAATATGTGTGTAGCGCCGTTGAGTTAGGGATGGAGAAGGGAAGGTTTGTGACACGGGCGGAGATGGGCATGGTCGATCACCAAGCCCCCCAGGCCTAAAAAGGGCCGGGCATTCTTTGGGGGGCAGGAGCTCCCTGGATTTGGCCTTAGGCGCTAGCCCAGGTGGAGCCCCCGTGTAAACTTGCCCTCGCCCGGCCATGCCCACCCCCCAAAGGGCCCTTGCCTCTGGCACGGCCTTGCCATGCGCTCGCTGTCAAAAACCCGCCCAACCCATGTGTGTTGACAACGTGGATAACAAGGCTTGATGGCCGGAATGAAGACTGTAAAGAGACGAGGGTAGGGCTGAAGAGGACAGATGATTGCGGAAATAGATCAGAAAACTCACCTTGATGCGCCTCTTTCGGCATGTCAGACATCCTGTCTTGGTCCGTCTCTTCACCTCCTTGGCTTTGTGTCGAGGAGTCGCAACGATCAGATTCGGATCCGTCGTCGAGGGAAGAGGCATTCGTCCCGGCATTTGCTGGTATGGCGAAGGTATTCCCGGGTAGATTGGCCGTGATTGCATGTACTCGTGAGGCACAGGTGGCGGCGGCACTGGGGCTGGGGCTGGTCGAACAGAGTAGGGATACGGCAGCGGTGGCAGGACACGTTGCGGCGCTGGCGGCGGGGGTGGTAGAGGTTGCACAACTTCTGGTTCCGGCCTGTGTGCAACTTGAGTGTGGAAATCGATGCTGCTGATCGGAGGCAGGCTGATCGGAGCCGTCGAAGCTTGCAGAGCCGCCGTGGTCATATTTGAATAGTTCATCAGGTCCGTGGCTCGTCGCCCTTGCAGTATTTCCCCCAAGCAGAGCAGGTCAATGCAGCAAAAGTCGCGACGCGAAGCGACGTCGATGAAAAGAGTTGACAAAGTGCAAGATGCTTCGATGTCGTATGCTTTTTTTTTCCAGAGCGGGAAACTTGGATTTGCTTCTCAAATGACCGGTTGGATGATCACCAGCGAAGTTTCCAGTTGATTGGTGATGGAACCCAATCCGTTGATGCTCTTTGCCACGGTCCCGTGAGATTTTTGCCTCTTTTCCCAACCGGCCTTTTCTGTCTTTCTTGCAGACGGGGGAGGAGTTCAGAAGTATGTCTCTGCACCGGACAAGCAAAGTAACGCAAGTCAGCAAGCGGGGTGCAAAACCATCAACGAGAAAGCAGCAGAGCAAAAAAACGACAATAAGACAGACAATCCAGGAATGAAGGAGGAATCGAGCGCAAAGCAAAAGGTGGTCAAGAGAGTAAAGATACTAGGAAAACGTATGGAGTTTGCGGTATGGTGTGCCTGCACCATAGTAACATAACATATGACTTGGGATGGAGGAGCGAAGTGGCATGGCACTGGACGGAAGGAGGAACGGCGGTTGACAGGCATGCGAGTTCCACTAACAGGGCTTGACGGGGCAGGGGGGGGAGGGAAGAAGGTCTCGCTGCTGGAGTGCTTGGTCACCCCATTCAGGCCCCGTGAAACGCCCACCAGTCGCCAGTGGCTCAACGCCTTGACCATTTGAGTGTTCGCTCTTTTGCTCCAGGTGTCGCGGACGTCCTAAGTGCCGAAGCGCAGGTGAGCATGAATCAGATTTCGATGGCGAAATTGGAACGAACCTCGCTTGGGATCGCTTCGACACGATCAGCCGCCTTAGACGACAAGCATTCTCTGGGGGGCGAGGCCAGGTGCAATAACTCGAAAGGTGACCGTGCTCCAAATGCCATACTTGGGGGCCTGTACAAGCACTAGTGGGAGACGTAGGATGTGGACAATGGGATGGAAACAACGGACAGGAAACCACGACTCCATCAAAATGCCCCCGAACGGCCCGGAACCAGGTTAAGGTGTCAATCAACGGTCACCAGGAGTTGGTGAGTGGTGAATGGTGATCCAAACGACTCGAGCAGCAACTGGTGGCAGTGGCACTGGCAGTGGCCGCCCGCTGGCTGGGTCGACTCGTCTGTGGCAGGAGGCACCACTAGAACCCACCAACTGCTGAGCAAAGAGTTTGCAAAACTCCCTGGTACCCAGTCAAGAGGCTTCTCGCTTAGGGCATCTCCCGACGCCAGACGACGTTAGGCCCGAGTCTAAGCACCTTTAGACCGTGCTTCATCCTGGACCGAAGGGAGGGGGGCACCCATCTGGGGGGGCGCCCTTTGCTCCCGGCTTTGCCCACTGCTAGCGCTTCCCGCTCCAGGTCGGTTGCATTAATGTGCATCGGGGCTGCCAGCTATACACGGTAATAATTATTGATCAAGCTGAGAAAGACAAAAGACCAAACATTCCAACGGGGGTTAGTTCCGCCCCTCCCACCCCCCTTTGCGAGGAATAGCGCCCCGAAGCTGTCGAGGCTGGAGAAATACTCGTACACACCTGTACACCGTATCTTGGTCGTGGTGGATACGGTGTAGGATGAAGATTGCTTAAAGTCATTGAACAGGGATGATGGTCCAAATGGAGGCAGCAGCAAAACTGGCAAAACTGGCCCTCGGATTGTCCAGAAACTCGGAATCAAGGCAGCAGGAGCTGAGCCAAACAAAAAGGATAGATAACGCACCGTGGAGAGCAGACTTCTTTAACGTCCCACTCACTATTCAGCTTCGAGTTCTTTGGTTCAATAGACCAATGTTATTGTTGACGCTCCCGGACTCTCTCCTTCTCTTCTGTGCAATGCAATGTCCCAAAAGAGAACAACCTCAAATGCCCGTGGATGTCACGACGCTGCTGCTTGACCGTTGCCAAGCGACTCTAGAACCCTGCTAGCGGCATTTCGAGAAATGGAGTCGTATCAGTCGAGGCACCAACAATTTTGGAAAAGTCATGCCCGCTCACGCCCACTCACGCCCACTCACGCCCACTTCTGTAACCGAGCCCAGTAGTCGACTCGCTGCACTTGCGCTTACATGCAACTCCCTCCTGGACTCTGCCTACTCGAGTATAGCACCGCCGACCAGGGTACTCCGTATCCTTCCTTTGAGGCTGTCTCTCAATGTGACCATGTCAGCATCCAAACCCACCCAAAGCAATCCATGTCCAGGGCCCGTGCGGGCTCCAGAGCAAAAAAAGAGACTGGTGCTTTTCCTACCTCGTCAACCCCTTCGTGCTCCGCTTCCTGATTCTCTCCCTCTTGTTCCTGTCCTGGTTCGCTCGAAGCGGTACGCCACCGGTCACCATGCAGCTACCAACACCCGGTGGACTATTGGAGAGGTTGGGGGGCTTGGGGGGAATGATGAGGGGGACAAAAAAGATAGCAAGAAACTCTCAAAGACAGCCCACGGATTGGCGTGTGATATCCCTGGAACCTTGCTGTTTGATCACCATGACCCCCGTCACGCTATCGACTGAAACAAGTGTTCGAAAATCTCCAGACAAACTAGTTGGAAAAAGTAGCCCAGGGAAACTCGTCCTCGACAAAGTCCACGACACGACGGCCTAAACAGATTCGAGGACAACTCCACCCCGAGTGTCTCTCGTCCACAGGCTTCCAGCGCACAGGGCACTTTTAGCCTTTTTTGACTTTCAAGGTGCCTCTTAGCGAGACAAGTTTGACCTCGCTCCGAGATGTGCCTTGCCTCTTGTTTTGGCAGGCCTCCCCCCTCCCAAGCTCTGGACTTTCCTCGTTGATCATCGCATCCCAGGAACGCTCCTCCAGCCATCATGATCGCCCAGCCACAATGCATGGTTGGCCCGCATTAGATCCGGTACCGCCCAGGTACCATTTGTCAACCGTCGTCTCGAGGGTGGCTTTTGGTGTCACATGAGCCCGTCTTGTCAACACGAAAAGGTGCATGAAATCATACCCTGAGACGGCACTGAAAAAGAAGCCTCGACCCCTGTGAGCCTCGACTGGCTCGTCATAGGTGGTGTCTCTCCTGATAATTGCCTATCTATCCGAGGCCGTTCTGCACGAAGACCAAAATTGACAGATACTGATCCAAGCTGGCAGAGGGCTTCCACCAAAAGGACCTAACCGTCGAGAGTCGAGATCGTGTGAATGACGGACCGAAGTGCGCTGGGGTCGGAAATCGTGCAACGGTGCAGCACAATATTCTCCGAACGAGCCAGATCCCCTTGCGGGACCAAAAGGCGAGCAGCACAAGCAGCATGCAGGTTGTGCAGAGGCGATCGAGAGGCCCCTTGCCTTAGGCCCCTGGGGATGACGACCATAGGTAATGCACCACTCGTGCCCTCGTTCACGGCAGGGTGCATCAAGCACTCCTCGGCATAATCAGGAATAAACGAGGATGACAAGAGGGATAATTCGAGCTGTCCCCGACGTGCAATTGGCCGCTGGTGACATGTCGGTCATGCATGACACCTTTCTCCTAGAAATGGAGGCGGTCAGTGATGATGACGTTTGATTCATCAGAGTCTACGTAAATCTCGCCTAGAGAGCAGGGCTCGGACAACGTCTGGGGGCACGGGGGCCAAAACGGTCATTCAAATGAAGAGCTTATGCTTGCCACTCGGCATGCCCGAGGGACAACTTTGGATGCAGGCGATTTGTGTATTTGGTGTTTTTGCTGATGCTGTACTAGCCATTGCATGAATTACCGTGGTTTTCCTGCTTGGCCCTCGCTCCCGATGAGAAAATGTCGAATCATGCGCGCCTGAATGCCTTGCCCTGTCCAACTGTGGGACATAACTTACTGTTCCTTCGCTTGGCGGGACTGGAGGCGCAACACCTTGGAGACGAGGATGATCCTGTCACTGCTGTCATATCACCAGTGTCGTCGCATCTGTGCCACTGTAATCCCACGTGGTTACGCCACTTGGGAATTTCGTGCAACAGCTTGGTCAATTAATTCCAAGGGGCCAATGGTTGTGCAAACTTCTGCATCAGAGTTTGGGCCAAAACCGAACGTAATCAGTCGACAATCAAAGGTTGGCTTGATCATGATCTCGCTTATCTGGACTCCGGTTCGCGTCTGCCGGTCTAGATTCCCCCATACCATGGGGAGCCATCCTTTTATGGCGTTTCATGATACTTTGGCCTTACGTTTCTTGAACATAGGTATTGGGACCTCCTCTGGGATTCGGTCCATAGACATGGGTGGTTGTGATGAATTTGGCTCTTCCTTCAGTCCCGGATCATCTTGCTTTAGTCGGTTGGGGGGCGAAGATTCCACCTGGCTTGAGGTACAATTTCCACCCGGACGGCCATCATGGTCGAGAACAAGGTTCTTTCCTTGTCGCAAAGAGTCCTTGTCTTCCTTTTTAATTTGCGTGACCGGGCTTGCGGTCCTTTCTTTCTTGACGGAGATCGAACCCGACAAGAGATCTTCGAGATCGGCTTCGTCGTGGCCAGGATATTTCTTGGTGGCAGCACCCCATCCGCGTCGCACGACAGCTTCGCCAGCTTCTTTCTTCTCCTCCTCATCTTCATCTTGACCTTCGTATTTGCGCTTTTTGACACCCTTGCTTAGAGGCGCTTCTGATGGTGTCTCGTCAACTATTTGTTGTGACACCACCTGCCAGTCCCCAACCATGGCCATCTCAGAACGGAACTCTTCAGGGACTTTGATCCCCATCTCGGCCAACTGCGCCCATTGTTTCTTCCGATCTGCGGTAGACTGAGGTCCCGTAGGAGGTTTCGGTGCAGATTGAGCGTTCTGCTTTGAAGATGGTTGTGAGGGGCTTGATGATCTGTTTATATCGCCACCAGCAACTCCCTTGAGTCTCTCAACTTCTGACTTGGCCCTCTCCTTTTCCCGCTCGCCTCGCTCATGGCTATTTTGAATGTCGCGGAGAAAGCGCTTCAG